GGACAGCGGTTGATGATGAGGTGAAAGCAGCGACTCACACAAGGCTAAGAAAGCAATGAAGAAGCTAATATGATGCTAGAATATGTGTCATCATTTAAAGATGGAATGCAACGACTGTGAAACAAGGAGACTATATTTAGTAGATTTGGAATCCTGTCTTTTGTACTCATTTTGGTATGTCTTGTTTGTTTATACTGAAGAAGGGTTACTTTTCTTACCAAATTTTACATATATTCCATATTCAGATAAAGAAGTACAGGGTGCGATGGGTAAATTATCGTCATTTTATATTTTTAATTTCGCGCATGCGCGTTTTTTATTTTTTATTTTGTTGATTACACAGTATAGTATGGTCAGTTGGGCACTGTCTGTGAGAAAAAAAAAAGCATCATGACGCATTATACTCTGCCAGATATTTGGAGAGAGCATACTGCACTTCTTGGCATTCTCGCCGGAAGCTTCAATATGAACATTTCAGAGTGTTTGGGTGTCAATCTGAGGACAGTGCAGAGGATTCGGAAAGAATTGGATGAGCTTATAAAGGTACGGCAGCCCGGAAGACTCACTTTGATCTTTCTGATAAGAACTTTCGAATTTATTAATGAGGGCCACACAAATAGGAGAATTCAGTCATGGTTGTCAGAAAATTGCTGCAACCACATCACCCTTACATCTGGCTACCTAACTCCCCGGACTGCAACCCCCTTGATTATTATGTGTGGGGCGCAATTGAGAGAGAGACCAACAAAACTCCTTGTAACATCAAAGATAAATTGAAGGCAAGCATTATGCCAGCATTCACCAACTTAAACAAGGAGACCGTCCAGAAGAGTTGCAGGAGATTCAGAAGTCGTTTGGAGGTTGTGGCTGAGGCCAATGGCGATTTTATTGAATAAATTTACTCTTTGGTATTTCAAGATATTTTTGTGTAATTTGGTAAATATATCTGTTAAAATGAGATGTCAGTGTTATTTTCATTTTTGCGTAATTTAGACATTTTATCCATAACACCCTGTAAGTATTGTTGGTAACTATATAAAAATGTATTGTATGTGTTTTTATACTTACATAGTATTTTTTGCTGTGGGGGTCGGAGGAGGAACTATTTACCCATATCAGGGATCCTAACAGTTACTACTACCCCGAATCAGGGTGGATCTGTGAACAACAGAAAATAAGAGGTTGTTTCACGTTCCTCAAAACGGCAAATCTCTGGATCAGAGGCCTTGCTGCCGGATGTAGTTTATAATACTGTTAGGAAGAAGAAGAAACTGATAATTTTTATAGGCAGGACGTGGTTCTACAGAAGGATTCTGAGAATACCGTGGGCAGAACACGCAAGCAAAGAGGAAGTTTTAAGGAAAATGGGAACAAAAAGAACGCTAGTATTTATAATCAGAAATAGACAGCTGAAATTTATGGGACCCATAATGAGAAAAGAAAACTTGGAGAATTTGACACTCAGATGACATAGTGAAGGCAAGAGGGATCGAAGGAAAAATCAGATAACCTATCTTATAAGTGTGGAAGGAATAGAAAGGAACAAATGATAGGAAGTTGTGGAGAGCCATGATCACGCACATCATGAAAGGACATGGTATATAAAAAAGATTGCTGCTAATCTAAACCTATAAGGATGTACGGAAACTATTTTAAATCAATCCTTTATTGTTTTAGACGTTGGAAAGTGTGTTTATCATTTTGTTTTTAGTGTGAGCTTATTTTCACCGCAAGCTTGTTGCATTTTTGTGTGAACCAGCCCGTCCTTTTGCTCTATATATTATAAAATTTATACAAATTTAGGTTACATTTAACTGCTACAAATTCTAAAAGTCAGTATGTTTATATACATGAGAGAATGTTTTCTCTCAAGAATTTCGTAGCCCCAAGTTAAGGGTGCGTATTATACACAAATAATAATTACGGCATATATATGGTAGGGCAGTTTGTTAGGAAAAGTTAATATATTCATGTTCTTATACAATCTTAAATATTTCAGGCTTATTGCAATCTAAAAAGTATGGAAAAGTTGATAGGTGAATTAAGAAGAAAAAAAAACGACAATTTTGAGACGTTCTTTTCCATTCAGTACTTCACTATTATTTCCCTCATTGGCTATTCTTACCATTAATAAATAGGGGCCTAGATATTAAGTGATAGCAAGTCTCCTTAATATTCCAAAGCCCTCTGCAGCATTTGAGCTGTTTTTAACGATGCTGATATATGGTTGGTTCTAATTTTACTTCTATTATCCAGTTCCTTCAAACATTTCCCCAGGCTCTTCGGAACTGTTTCCTGTTGCTCTTTTCGTGGGTAAAAGGGAAACGCCAAACTAAAGGTTAAGGAACGAATATTCATTTGGAATAAATGCTTGATTTGCATTGCATCATTTTAACTATTTTCAACAATGCTATCGTATAGATAGTCCCAACTTTCCTCCGATTTCCAAATCGTCCTTTTTCCTAGCCTTTTCGGGGTCGTTCTCAGATAACGACTAGAACAACTTTTACACTCATGGTCCACAACATGCTCAGTTCTTTATCAAGTTCGAAATCTATCTTTTCAATTTCCTTCTAGTCTGTTGCAACAGCGAAATCTAGAATTTTGCATTTTTCTCCTCTTTCCTTACAACTACTTGATTCAGTTCTCTGGCCTAGATTGGGTGATCCGTTTGAATTGTATGTGCTTCATTCATTAGGACAGATTCTTCATATATCATTCGTCTCACTTATTATTATTATTATTACGAATTCGGTACCTGGCAGCATGATGATCAAATTTCAAATGTAAATTGTTTGCCCGTTTTAAATAATTCATTCATTAGAAATTATACTCAGTTTTATATACAGAAAGAGTCATAAAATGACCTCAGAGTGCCACATGTTTCGGCTTATATTCTTTTCCTGTTACTCAGGGGTTGTTGCCAGACAGAACGAGAAATTAGACCATACGATACAGATGTCAGTTTCAGTTTCATTCAAATTGTGTGTGCATGTACGTTTGCGTGTGTGCAATTATTTCTGCAAAATAAAAATAAAAACATTAAAAAAACTAATTCTATTATCGAATAATTTCCGGAAAGCTCAATATAATCTGATTTTTTTACGGTAAAAAAAATCAATTTGTTTTCAACTTGATGATTTTATTGCTCACCCCAGGGTAGAGGTTGTCCAGACTGAATTAGATGGCACTATATTATTCCAAAGTCTTAATTCAAATTTGTGGGCTTGCGTGTTTGTGCGCGTGCTTGCGTGTTTATTAAATGAGCACAAGCATATATGAAAGCCACTTACAACAGGTATACTTTATTCTAAAAGCCTCTAGAATGAAAGGTGTTACTGATGTAAAAGAAGCAGAGAGAATAAAATAACAGGATTCAAGGAGACAGAAGATGATTGCATTTAAATATATGCATTGCATTTATATTTCTGAAGATCGTAGTTGACAATAAAACAGAGAGCCAGAAGAGAGTTCCATGGTCGAGAAGCGAGAGAGCAGAAACCATCAGCATAGAACTTATAGTTGCAACTATCAAATTCAACAATGGAATTATGAGACCTAGCTGCCAATCTAGTACTGCGCTTAAATTCCTGAAGTCGAGGTACCGACGAAGAGAGCTCAACAGAAGAATTACCGTGAAAATATTTATAGAAGAGGCAAAGTGAAGTCACGTTACGGCGGTGGGAAAGTGACTGAAGCTGAGATACCAAGTCAGGATCGATAATTTTGCCGATTCTTTATCGGATTTTGTCAAAAAACTCTAGACACATAACAGAAGCACCAGACCAAATTTGGCAGCGATATTCGATATATGGACGAATGGTAGACTTATAAATGTGCAGGATGGATTTTGAGGAGGGAAATTTGTTTAGCACATGGTGAAACGATTTTCCTCGCAGAAGACTTAGCAATTGATTCAGTTTAATTATTACATAGGCGTATATACATTACATAAACGCATGCAAAGTCACACTCCGACTGTGGGTGACAGACAGAAAATTAACTCTTCTTATCCTATTATAATTGTGCTTGTTCCTCCCTTCGTCAGTTCGCACGACCGTTACACCCTGCCAATACCTCATAAATAATGGACTATTCCATTTTGATTGCGTGGAAAGAGGGTGAAAGACATTACTTGGTTTCAGTGAGAAAATGAGAGAAAGAAAAGAAAGGAAGAAGGGACGATAGAAGTGTTTGATGTCTCTTGCCAATAGTTCATAAATAATGGATTATTCTATTTTGATTGCGTGAAGAAAAAATCATATATCAGAGACGCTACTTGGTTTCAGTGAAAAAATAAAAGAAAGAATGAAATAAAAAGAGGGAAGGGAAGATAGAAGTGTTTAACGGCTGTTGCAATGAAATGGAAAAAGTTATCAATTATAGATCTTTTCATTTTTTAAAATAATTACAAGCATTCATATTTATGATTGTTATGGCAATATTTTGTTAATGTTGTTAAACTCAAATATTTAATGATGTGATAGAGGAATTCGTACGGATATTGTCGTAGCAATTGCGATGGGCTTATTCAATCATTAATTTAAGAATTAAGATTCATCAGAAAATTCAAATAGGAAAACCGTGAAATTTTCACGTGTCTTTTTATTTATTATTCTCCTTATATCATGTCTTATTGTGTTCTATATTAACGTTACTCTTTCCGAACACACACGTTGAATAACAAGCTTGACGCCCGTTTCACATGAAGAGACAATTTGTGGCGAATTTGTTGGATCAGGATCTGCCAAACTGCACATGATTGCGGTCATTTGTACGGAGTGGTGATCGGACGACGGGGAATTCATTTCTTTCCCACGGCCCCCGCAATTATCCATGCTTGGTCGGCCAGGCGACCTAATCTGACAAGTCGCTTGCTACGCTTTGATGATCAGGTAGACAAGAAAAAGTAGTGAATAATAATAAATAAGTAATACCAAAAGAAAAAAAAATATATGTGATTTTTGTCTTGGGAAGTAACGTTTGGCACTTAAGTGAACTCACCAAAACAAAACGATTGTTTTGTGCTTGGCGTGTCGGTCAGTTTGCTCGCGGTGGGGGTGGTGGGGCGAGAGAGAGAGAGAGAGAAAGAGAGAAAGAAAGAGAGAGAGAACAAGATAAAGATTAGGAGGAAAAATGGAAGAATGGACAGAGAAAAAAGTGAAAGCTAGCTAGATAGAGAAGTAAAAGGTAAATAGTTTAGAAAAGCGAATAAATCGATAAGAAAAGCGAATGAACAGATAGATAGATAGATAGATAGATAGATAGATAGATAGATAGATAGATAGATAGATAGATAGATGTGAAGATTGAGATAGGTAAAAAGCAGATAGACTGATAAAAAGCAAAATGGATAGGAAAGAAAAGCGAATTTATATATATATATATATATATATATATATATATATATATGTGTGGAGAGAGAGTTACATAGATACATAGACAGATATGTGTAGACTGAGATAGATAAAAAAAGCAAATAGACTGATAAATAGTTAATAGATAGGAAAGAAAAGCGAATAGATAGATAGATAGATAGATAGATAGATAGATAGATAGATAGATAGATAAAGTTTATTTCTCGTCCGGTTCACAATCCTCCCTGGCCTTTTGAATAGGCGTAGAGGTTTGTTCCTTGTTTAGAATTGGGTTTCCGGTTATTTCTAAAGTATTTTCATTGTCTTTCACTTCCAGTGCATTTTGCATCTTAGTGGCATTAACACCTTGCCTGGGATGAATTGACTAAAAAATAACGAGAAGTTAGGTAAGAAAACCGAATTGATGGATAGATAGATAGATAGATAGATAGATAGATAGATAGATAGATAGATAGATAGATAGAACAGACTGAAATAGATTGATAGAAATGAAGAGATTGGGCTAAACAAATAGATAGATAGATAGATAGATAGATAGATAGATAGATAGATAGATAGATATTAGATATGAAGAAATTGAGTTAGCTATTGAATTAGAGATAAATATATATATATATATATATATATATATATATATATATATATATATATATATATATATATTAATCTGATTTAAGATGAGATAATTATTAAATTTGCTCTATTTTCACATCGAAAGGAAGCAACGTCTCTTGATTATATTTATTACGGTTTGGATATAAGTTCCAAATAGAGGGAAAAAAATTCGATGTTATTTAAGAATATTTTAGAAGGAAGTTCGCAGAACCATTCTATGAAGTAGTCTTTAAACCTGGGCTCCAAAAACTGGAATCACCGCTGGATATAAACATCGAATAGATACTTAACAGATGGATAGATACGGACAAAGAACTGGGTGGGGATGGGAGAAGAAAAAATCTGATAAAGAGGAAGGAAAAAAAAATGAGAGAAACGAAAAATACGTTATTTAATGTATAACTCTGTCAGGGTCATTTACACAAATTCTTAACATATTGTCGACACGAAGAACGGATTGATAAAAAAACATCTTTCATTTATTTTCTACCAATTCTGATGTTTAAACTTGGACACTTAAAACAAAGAACATAAAATGTTAGACGACTTTTTTAACAAAGTCAGTCATTTTCTTTCTTTTCTACTCACGTGCAACGCCAGATTGGGAAAAATATATGATCTCATTATTTTAAAGAAACATACAAATACACGCACAATTCACTATTTCGTCTTCGATCTGATGAAGGCCAAAATGGGCGAAATGCATTATCGGATATTTTTTCGAAACATTATATATATATATTTTTCTATATATATATATATATATATATATATATATATATATATATATATAACCCGGATATAAGAGACTCGGATATAAGAGAAACCCGGATATAAGAGAGATTTTCTCTGGTCCCAAATTAGAGCCTGTGTTAATGTAAACAAAATAGACCAAACCCGATATAAGAGAAACCTGGATATAAGAGACTTCTTCTCCGGTCCCGACAACTCTCTTATATCCGGGTTACATATATATATATATATATATATATATATACAGTGGAACCTCGGTTCACGAATTTAATTTATTCCCGAAGGCCGTTCGTAACCCGAAACATTCGTAAAACGAAACTATTTTTCCAATAGGAATCAATGTAGAGAGAAAAAATGTCACTGTACAATAAAATTGGAAAAGAAAAGAGTGACACAACACAAATGTATACAACACGACTCAAAAATTATTCCGTTCGGGTTAACTCGGTTCGGCAATGTTGTTCGAAAACCGAAATTTTGTTCGCTAACCGAGGCATTTTCATCTCGAATTTTCTGTTCGAAAACCGATTTGTTCGACATGTGAGACGTTCGAGAACCAAAATATTATATATATATATATATATATATATATATATATATATATATATATATATATATATATATATTACTGCAAATATTATTATAATGAATACTCGTATTTGATATAGACGGCCCATTTTTTTTAAAAAAATGCTTTAAACAATGTGTATTTTTATGTCGAACTGAACCCTTTATTTCGCTCGCTTGGAGAGGGGAATTAACAGGAGATAACTGATATCCATTAAACATGGCATGTGGAACTAGAAGAGTCTACTCCAGCGAGCGAAATAAAGGGTTCGGTTCGACATTCCAACCACCTGAAGAAGGCCGAAACTTTGTGATAAAAATGGCAACAAAGATGAGGACAATAGTCCGAATAATGTAAATAGTGTACATAACATCTCAGAAATATTGACAATGTTCGGCGTAAAATTCTCTTATTATTAATGAACAAATAAGCAAAATATATGTTTGCTTTGAAAAACAAACTTTACAGATCAATTTTCCCTTGAAATATTTTTCTTCGTGGAAATTTACCCGAAATAACTGGAAATCGTTATTGTTATTTGCTACTAATTACGATCACTCACTTACTGAACGTCGCCAGCGTTTGCTGTAAATGATGCGTGAAGCATCGGAATAATGATAATAACAAATATATTGTGAAATAGACAATTTGCAATTATCCATTTTATTTCCATATGTAAGTGAGGTAACTTAGTTGTAAAAAATCTTTTAAAAAGAATTGCGATTGAGTATTTTTAAAGCATTAACAATAAAAAGTTTAAACTAAGTTACCTCCCTTACATAATCTTAACGCAAATTAACTATAACGGAACGTGTTTCATGCGCATTTCCCCCAAAAGTTCACAACTATCAATTACATTAATTTTTGTCTTCGTAATTCATTCATGAAGATGATCTTGGATGAGATTGAAAGTAATTGGGAAAATAAAAGAAATAACCAAAATTACAGCGTCTTTCTTACTTAGTTTTGTAACAGCACTAAGAAATTCATCCAAGAGTTTGAGAAGATTAAAATAAAAATAGACATAATATGTTTAGATTATTCAAACAACATGCTTGAATTAAGATATATATATATATATATATATATATATATATATATATATATATATATATATATTTTTTCTTTACAATTGAATTAAGATACTTTTAGTAACTGACCATTTTCACCTACGAATTTTAATTTTGAAACAGTTTGAAAAATCCTGCGAATTTCAAAATTAAAATTCGTAGGAGAAAATGGTCATTTACTAAAGGTATCTAAATTCCAATTGTAAAGAAATTTGGTGTGTTTAATGAAAATAAACATTGAGCGCTCTTTTGTGAGTCAGTCTTAACATATTTCGAATTCTATGTTGTGTTAATAGGACTCGCCTGGATTATACCAACGGATTACTACCCATATATATATATGTATATATATATCCATCATTTTCTTACCGTCGTTAAAATACTAAGGAATTATTCTAATGTAATTATCCAACGTAGAAGAGTATTTCAGCTACTATATATACGAGGGTCGGTTGGAATGTTCATAGGCTGGACAAGGTATAAATGTAAGGAGATACACCAGTTGGTAGACTAAAAGGCATGCAAGTGTTACAGAATTCGACAGCTGTACCTTTTTTGATGCTGAATGTAAGTAAAGGTGCATACCAACCGTATAGAAAACCCAATGACAGACCATTTTATATACAAACATATTCCAACCTCCCACCATCAGTAATCAAGCAGATACCACAATCAATTATTCGCAGGATATTTGACAATTCTTCCATTGAAACCATCTAAAACAAAGCCAAGAATGATTACAATCCTAAAAGAGACTGCATTTTCGGAAACCCCCATATGCACAGTTTGCTTACTACCTTGAAGATCTCTTTCATACGCCTTCGAATTTCTGTGACACATTTTCTGTTGTTTGTTACTACAGTGTCCAAATAGTTAAATTTCTGTATTTGCTTCATTGTGAAATTTCCAATTCGAAGTTTACATTTTGGTTGTCTCATTTGCTGACAATTAATTATGTCTTCTTGCAAATAATGGTAAGTCATTTTGTCTTGCTTTCCTTATTAGCGACAGAAGAAAATATTTTACAAATTTAGATGTTCAAGAGTGACGGTTTTTTATTTCACGAAGCAACCTATATTAAGGCTTGGGTCAATGTTCCGACATTTTGAATACATTCATGGTAAGCGTCATTTTTCATGAGAAAATATACCAAGACAGTAATAAACGAAAAAAAAATCAAGACATCACTGTCGGTAGTTCTGTTTTTTCTGTTTTTTTTTTCATGTATTCTTAATCAGAAAACCTACATAAATTTTTCTTTTTTTTTTTTTTTTTTTTTTGAATTATAGTCACGTGTCCAAATCTTTGTCTCAATGGTGGGAGATGCTATGGAGGCCAATGTCGTTGTCCTAGTTTTTACCGTGGAAAACGGTGTGAACGAAAGTAAGTTGCACTTTTTTTAAAAATTTATAAAAAAGGGAAAAGAAAGGAGACAAGACAAAACAAAACAAAATAATAAATAAACGTACGAATAAAAAAGTAAAATAAATTTAAACGTGGACATAATGTGATATAAAAAACAACTGCAGGATTATAATTAACGTAAAATATCTGTTTATTAATTAATTTATGAATTTTACAAGTACATAAAGTACGTAGAAAAAGCAGAGATTTTTCTTCCTCAGTATTTCCACAGATAAGTGCTATGTACATCTACTGATTAGATATCCATACCAACAAAAAATATTTTCAACAAAACCCATACAGAATGAAGAGAAAAACACGATAGGTTCAAACCTTCTGAAATATTTATTCGTTCAAATAGGATACAATTGATAAAAGTGTGGCAATGAAGAATGTAAGTCTTTCATTAACATCAAATGCTAAGCCTAAATGTTCTGGACAAAGAAAAATTACAATTTACTGATATGCCGAAGAGGAGCGCTTCCCGTTAGGGTTGTAACCATACACATGGGCGAAGAAAAAGATAGTTTCTTCTGAAAGCATGGGTTTTTAAACCAGTCAGTTACAGCTGCTATCATGAATACCTTCTACATCCAGTCTTACTACATTATAGCCTAGACTCACTACAACTATAACACAAACAGTAAATATAGTCAATGAAGCGTGTGCACACATACACTCACATACGCCCATCACAGAACATTCGCTCATAAAGAAAGCAAACACACACAGGCATATACACAATCAATATTTGTTCCAAATGACGACGTCCTGTCTGAAGAAGATATGATTTTTTAAGGCTACACCGTATGCACAAAATATTTATTCACCGTGAATTCAAGCGTAATTTCAATGTCGGGGAAAATGCGTTTATCTTTAAAGTGATCAATGTAAAAGATTTCACAAGACAAACGCGTGCTATCAAAACATTCCACATAATTTTTTCTCATCAAGTCAGGTGAATCTAAAAAGACATTTTGACATGATTTCGTGTTATATATATATATATATATATATATATATATATATATATGCTTCATTAAAGACGACTGACAAGGTACTGCGATTAATTTTTCTTGTGTTCGTATAGGTATTTTCTTTTCTGGACATAAAATTTGTGTGAAAACTTTATTTATGTTCAGAAAAGAAAAGACACACACACACACACACACACACACACACACACACACAGAGAGAGAGAGAGAGAGAGAGAGAGTGAGAGAGAGAGAGAACAATGAATAAAAAGCTTAATTGCAGTTTCTTAGCAGTCGTCTTTAATGAAACTTGTATAAAAGAGAGATTGCTGCCCAAATTCACACACACACACACACACACACACACACACACACACACATATATATATATATATATATATATATATAATTATCGACGATATAAAGTTTATCGACGAGGATCACTTCACACTACGGATTAACAGTATTTTAATGCATATATTATGTTTCTAGCGATGGATGTCGCCAATAATCGAATTAATACTTCTGATTGATTCTATGTGTGATTATTTCTTTATATATATATATATATAT